TCTGTCTGCACCCGCCGCACATGCGGAGCCAGCGCACCACCCCCTATGCGCCTTGGACGATATGTCACCAGTACTCAGGTAAGATTATTCTGTTCTGTGATGTCATCTCTGTGACCTAGGTGACAGAAAACTTAGCACCTTATTATGAAATGTTACCTTTTTTGATTTCACATTTGTGTGTATATGTGGAAGACGAAGACGTGGGTGGTAATTTAATGCAGAATAGCAGCGGCGCCAAGATTTTATGTAGTCCGGGCAGGTATTGTGTACCCTCAGCATGTGACTGTAAATGTAGTCTTATTGTTTCTATTTCTTTATCTTTGTTGTTAAGATAACTATCAGTCTTTTACTCGACTAACTATGGGCTTCTTATAAAATCTTTGTATAATAAGTCGTCATTATCATGAGTTTCTGAGACTAAAATCCCCGTTTATAACGTATTTTTATCTTTGTTTTGTCAAAGGTGAAAGACAGGGATGACGACATATTTTATACAGAGACTAGCTGTCGCCCGCGATTCCGTCCGCGCGGGATTAAAAATAGATGTTGGCCGATTGTCAGACCTACTCAATATGCTCACAAAATTTCATGAGAATCGGTCAAGCCGTTTCGGGGTTGTATGGGAACGAAAATTGTGACACGAGAATTTTATATATAAGATTTTGTTGTCAGAAACCCATGGTGAGAGACTCAGATAAGCTTGACATATTATCTATATCTAGTTAGTTTGTATTTTGTGAGTCATTTTGTTTGTTTTATAAATTGTAATATTTGAATAATATTCGAAATGGTACTACAATATATCGCATCGTCTACCATAGACTGTTTATGTAGTTTACACATTGCATTATAACATCGATATAAAGTCGTAAATCACTGGATAAATCTCGCAACCACGCTTGCCTTTCTAAATAATGTATTCACTTCGCCCGATGCTTTAGAATGCAGACGTGTAGATCCACTCTAACTACTATACGATAAATAGGAACAAGAACAGGAATTACACACGACTAATAATCGCAAACATCAGCATGACAAAAATCAAATAGACACAAAATAAGACGCCTTATAACCTGTTCATTTAATAGAGGTGGTGTAACGTTACCTTTATTTCCAGATCTAATCCACTATACAGGGAGGAAGAGGAGCAGGAGGTAGTGATAATAGTGGACTCGCTGGAGGAGCCAGCGGAGCCGGAGCCTGCAGGTGCCCCCCGTGTGCCCCGCCGTGCACCCTCCACTTCTTCAGGTAACTTCCTTTACTCGAAGCATTTATTTTTAGTAGCTGTCTCCCGCTACTCCGTCTGCGCAGAATTGAAAAAAAAACAAATAGCCTATGTGTGTAAGTGTATTCTTTAAGACTATGTTTTACATCTGTGCCAAATTTCATCAAGATCCGTTTAACCGTTCCGGAGATATCTTCAAGCAAACATCCATCCATCCAAACATTCTCATTTATAATATTAGTAAGATTATAATTTAGGTAGCCTCTTATTCGTTTACAGAATCGAATTATTTTTCGCCGTTTTGCACGTAATTATTATATAGCTTAAAACCTTAAATCATTACAGTATTAAATAACATGTATTTGTGCAGTACATCAAATATTTGTTTGATATTAAACTTACCTATTATAATTATAAGTTTTAAATTACAGAGTATATGCATGACATTGAATTAGTATAATCAAGTGTAGATAATTATATTTATTTTGCTGTCAAAATGGTTCAAAGTGTATTGAACGTGCGATGTTATTACTAAAAGTTAAACCTATGAACTTATTTTTTTTATTGATTCACCGAGTTTAATAATTGGAAGACATCTTCATCGGCAAGTATCTAAGTACCAGTTTTAATTATGCGATGTCACCGGCATACCACTCTGCACACCCACATTTAGACATCTAAATTCTCGTCAGTTTCAGACGTTCGTTTTATCTTTTGACCTGGTACAGGGTACGGTAGCGGCGGCGGCAGTGCGGGGCGTGTGTCACCAACCTTACCAAAGATAGAGTACACGCCGGATCTGTCCCGCGACGCCGACACGGAACGCTCACCTGCTTCAGACTCAGATTGCGACAAGTCAGGCTCACGCGTCTCAGAGTCCACCTCAGATGACAGTCCTGACTGCACGCTCTCCAGAAGCCTCAAAGACGACATAAGAGCCTGTTTAGGTGGATGCAGGTAATGTACAGAAATATGCAAATTTTTTATTAATCTGTCTCTACCAGTACTGTTGAATTGAATCCAAATAACCTTAAGAGAAATGAGTGCCATATTTTCTTGAATGGCATAATTTAATCGATCACAGTTGAGATCCAAACAATTTTAAAGGTGAAACGAGTCCAGTGGCAGGCTTTTTGATTGCTATTGTTCTTCATGTTTAATACAATGTTTATTTAAACAACATTATATCTATCAGATGGGACAAAGAGGTGAGCGAGTTGGTTGCGGCGGCAGCGCGAGGGTCCGGCGGCGTGAGCGCGGCAAGAGCACGGCTGCACGCAGCATTGCGTGCGCTGCACGAGATTCCCGCACTACCCCCGGCACCTGCACACCCCGCTACGCCATACTGCGGGCCCGGCGTACGCCCCGGTGACGTCACTATGCGTCCCAAGCACGAAATGTCCCTATTGGTGAGTACTACCTTGTAGTTCACTAAAACCATGTTCATTTCTAAATGTAATTTGGTACAAAAGTTTGTCCTTTGACAATTAATAGTCAAAAGAGTATTTACTAGCTCAAACTTGTAGCAATTGTGAGACAAGACGTTCAAGTCAGATTTCAACACGCTAAGTACACGTAATCACGTATCCTTTTTGTAACTGAAGAGTTAAACATACAGATTATATTAAATAAATAAATAAGTCGGCCGCGACTCCGTCCGCGATAAAAAGCTTAATTAGTGTAGCCCACCCATCCATCCATCTAAACATTCGCATTTATAATATTAGTAAGTTAAATAAAAAGCAGCTCTTAAAGGCATACATTCGAAAAAAATGAATAAATAGTATCGTATGTCCGTCTCCTGGCTCTAAGCTACCTCCTCACCAATTTTCTACCATATCGGTAAAGCCGTTCTTGAGTTATAAATAGTGTAACTAACACGACTTTCTTTTATATATATATCTATATATAAATATATATAGATATGTATCTGTACCGTTTTAACTGCATTGGGCAGTACAAAATAAAAATCAAGCGTTCAATAGCTTACAAATTATAAGTATCCTTTTAGTTATGGAATCATACGAATAAGAGTACTTGATAACTTGTCTTAAATCGCATTTATTTGTTCAATCTTACGAAATATTTGAACCAACATTTGGACAAATACTTGACCAATATTTTGAAAACATTGTCATGTAACGAAGAACCGTTAAAATTAATTACTTACGTGAAAAACTAATATCTATTTTATTTTGATATTTGGGGTGTAATTCCACTGCCATTAAACTTGTATTGTCGTCTATTTTGTAAATAGAATTATACATATATTTTTACAATTGTTTTGGCAATGGAATCTTGCTTTTAGATATTTTATAAACTGAATATTTTGAGGTCAAATATTGGTGATAAGTTTGTTACTATTTGTTTAGTATTTTAGTCAATTATTTGTTTATTTTATTTTATAATTATCTTGTTAGTTACAAGTTACAAGAAACTTTAATGTCATCATCATCATCATCAGCTCACTATACGTCCCCACCGAGGGGCTCGGAGCCTACCCTAAGTTAAGGGTGATTAGGCCATAGTAACCACGCTGGCCAAGTGCGGGTTGGTTGACTTCACACATATCTTTGAATTTCTTATCAGATATGTGCAGGTTGCATCACGATGTTTTCCTTCACCGTAAGAACGTCGGATAAATGTGCATATGTATATCGGAAATCGAAAAACACATTGGTACATGGCGGGATTTGAACCTAGGACCTGCAGATTGCAAGTCGAGTGCTTGACCACTGAGCCACCGACGCTCTTTAAATGTAATTATAATTTATGCGAGGATTTTGCATACTTGTGAATTGAATTGCAAATTATGCGCACTTAAGTATCGGACGCTAGTCTCACACAATTGATATTAAGCATCCATGAATTTATAATAATATAATTTTAATTATTGTTAGTCGAAAGAAACATTCAGGTCAAAACTTCTTTGATGGCTACATGCCAATGTTTTTCTCTTATTTCATCGTCTGTAAAATTATTTAGGTGTACATGTTTACGGTTTTTTTTTTTACTTTGACTTTATTGAAATTTACTAGCCAGCTCTTGAAGCCTAGTAAATTTATCTACTAGGCTTTATCACGTTCGGTAAGGAAGTGATTTTCTTATTATATTATTTCCATTCCTGCCGTACAAGGGGCTATAGACCTGGTACTAAAACTATATGCTAATTAGACCTTGTATTGTTTAAGGCAATTTCTTGTCGCGTACGACATAGAGTTCTATACTTATCCTAGCTTGTAAGCAGCACGCACAAGGTTTTTTTGACCTGGTACCAGTAAACATGACAGAAATCATACGTATCACTATAAAGTTCAGATAAATACACATAGAACTTATCACTAAGTATATAGTTACTTAGTTCCATATGTCTTAGCACTTGCCGTTATTTATAATATGCCAAAAAAACGTAGGAACTATCTTAGTTACCGTACTTTCTTCCAATGTCCTACTTTCCCACGACACGTTTGGTCAAACAATTTAATATTTCGTAATGAAATTAACGAGTAAATTACATCAAGGATATAAATCGCGCGTCACATGATCAATGTGAAATCAAAATAAATCGCACGACACGCTTAAATGTTTGTTAACAACATTATATTGACAAACGAAAATAAATTTATACTTGAATAATTTTACAATAAAATAAAGTGTTTATTTCGACTACACATCGGATTAAAAACAAAATCTATTCCAAAATAGGAGGCCTAATTTAGTCCTCTTTCCCTTCCCACCCTTTTTTTTTATAAGGAAATGATGGAAGTGGACTTTCTGGATGGGAGGATGCATGGGAAGGGTAAATATTTTATTTCTGTGCATCCTCTCCTCCGTCGATTAAAGGTATGCAATTGCGTATGTCTATGGGCAACGGTCACTTCGCTATTTCAGCGATTTCAGGTGGCCGCTAGTTCGTTTGTCACCTTATGACATAAAAAAAATATTGTATAAAAGAATCTTGTAGTTTTTATGACGAAATTTTTAGAAAACTGTCAATCTGTAGGATCATCATCAGCTCACTATGTCTCCACTGAAGGGCTCGGAGCCTAACCTAAGTTAAGGGTGACTAGACCATAGTCAACGCTGGCCCAGTGCGGGTTAACATCACACATATCTTTGAATTTCTTCGATATGTGCAGGTTACATCACCATGTTTTTCTTTCACCGGAAGAATATAGGATAAATGTACATTTTATTAATGGAATTTCGAAAAATATATTGTTACATGGCGGGATTTGTACCCAAGACCTGATTACAAGTCAAGTGCTTAATCTGTGAGCCACGGACGCTCTATATAATCTGCAGAATAATTTGCTAAAAAGTGTTATAGTGATTCCTAAAAGCTTCGTATCTTTGCCTGTCCAGGAAAAGTCTTTCTAAGAATTGGCCCTTTTGAATATTTACATCATACATTCACCCATTGTGTTGCACCATTGCAGGCAACTTGGTCACTGCGACGTGCATGTAATATTAAAATTCCCTATTTGATATTCAAAACCGCCCATTCGTTATTCCGGTGGTCAAGGCGGTGAGTCAGTGCATGCGTTTTGCATGCGTTTGTTGTGTTCGAATATTTAGGTCACGGCTAATGTCAAATTTTATAAGGGTGCATTCACACTAGTTTTTTCTCTAACTCTTATAGTTATAACCTAATTAATTAACTGCTGGAAGTATATCAAATAACATTCAACCACAGATACGCTAATACTATAAATTTAACGAAATTTCCAAGACTTAACAGTGGTAGAGCCCGCTTTAACATCTTCGCACGAATCGGCCCGGCTCGCCCGGTGAAATACCACGACCACACAGAAGACAGGCGTGAAGTGGAAGCAATTCCGCGTTTCGTCTGATGAGTGTGCGTCCCGGAGGCCTAATTTAGTCCTCTTTTCCTTCCCATCCTTTTCTTTATAAGGAAAGAATGGCGAGTGAAAGTGGACTTTCCGGATGAGAGGATGCATGGAAAGGGAAGATATTTTCTTTCTGTGCATCCTCTCCTCCGTTGATTAAAGGTAGGCAACGCATATGCAATTGCGTATGTCTATGGGCAACGGTCACTTCGCTATTTCAGCGATTTCATGTGGTCGCTTGCTCGTTTGCCACCTTATGATATAAAAAAAAAAACTAAAGTGTAACTAGAGTTACAATCAAACGAAACTCGATTAGCCATATGATCTGTAAAAGTAGTTATGTACAAAAATTACACTTTTGCGTCTGCATTTTTGCGTTATAAAATAATAGCTCTTGCCCGCGATTCCGTCCTTGCCGGACAGAAAAGCTAAATTAGGATCCTATGTGTTCTTCCAGACTATGTTCTACATCTGTGTCAAATTACAGCGAGATGCAGTCGCTCTGGTGATACTTTCTAACATCTATCTATCCATACATCCAAACATTCGCATTTATAATATTAGTAAGATATAAAATTAGATCCTTTTGGTATATGTTTCGCTTTAGAATGCTAAACGGAGGCAGATAACCTTCCCAGAACATTAACATATCAAACCGCGACCCTAAGTTGACATGAACCCTAACAACTAATGACCATTATCTATAGTACATGCTAAGTTCAGTAGTCAACGTATTCAATCACATCAGATTGGAATGCGTGAGAAGATCGTATAATAAATCACAGTCACGAATATAAATCCTGTGTAATAAATTACATGTAAAATTGATGATTGTTTTAACATTTATAAATGGAGTAGAATTGACGAGTTGTCAGATTTTTGTAACACTTTTTCATTTGTCGGTAATGAACAGATGTTTGGCTAATACATATTATTGTGGAGCATTAAACAGTTTGGTATTTTACGTGTTTTAATGCGTATATTCAGACAATTACCAAGATATAATAGTATTAAAGAAACTAACGCACTTTTGTAATTGACTTATGAAAAAGCTGTAGTCACCGACACCGTCCGCATGGAATTTAAAAAAAAAGAATTAGTAACCTATGCATTCATCCAGACTATGTTCTACATTTATGCCAAATTTCATCTATATCCATGCAGCCGTTAAAATGATATCTTCAAACAAACATCCATCCAAACATTCGTATTTATATTATTAGGGTTTGGTTGTGCGGGAGTGCCTCCGCTAAGTCAAGTGCGTCATATTTTTTCAAAGTGATTTGACACTTTGTAACTTTGTTGTATTAAAAATATAAATAATCTTTATAAGACATGCAAACTTGATATCAAGTGAGCTGTACTAATTGCTATCAAGGTGTGAAATAATTAAAAGATTATAATCTTTCAGCTACTTAATTAAATAACGTTTTAACCGTTATTTTAAACTGTATTTTGTATTATTATTTTCAAAATATAATTGTAACATTTGTGTAATATCTTAATTTTTTACAAGGTTAGGAAACTTTGATAGTGACATAATTAATATTTTACATACA